CAGAGAGAAAGTAAGCATGCTACTTTTGTAAAAATATTGAAACAACTGAAAAAGTTCAATTTTGGGCATGTAGGCTGAAATGTCACTTTTTTACAAAATTTCTATCAAATAAAAGTGGAAATCATTTATTCTCATGTAGTTTGACAAATTAATAACAATAGATCATTCAGGGAAGTTGTCAAAGTACAAATTCAATATTTCCTGAATTCACCTCTTAGGCCACAGACCACAATTAAATTCCCCTATTAGTTCTTTATAACGTTTTGTATCATTAAAAAAATTGCACCTTGCATTTTTGTCAAATCTTTTGTGTGTGTAATGTATAGTACTAGTCCAAAAATATATCCAAAATTCAGAAAGATTGAACCAATGACTCTAACAAATTTAGCCAATACACCTCCATACCCCTATGGACAAGTCAAGAGATGTTCCGAAAACTGTAAATATCACCTTTTTGCACCTGGCCTAATCACTCTTTCCATATCAAAATCAGTTAAAATACAACATCCAAAAGTTTATTTCACCTCTCTTCTTTTATTTCCACCCAAAAAAAACTAAGAAATGAGTGAGGAAGGGAAAGAAAAAAAATTAAGAAAAACTACACTCTAATTAAAAGGAACTATATTCGTGGACAACGAAAAGCGGGATCATTAATTGTGGTCTTGGGCCTTTAGGCTTCTTTGTCTTAAACGAAATAGTAGAGGCAGATTAATTTATTGTCAACATAATTCAGTTGAGCTTGTAATTCAGTGGTTGTCATTTGTTGCTGATTATCATATTTGTTTTTCGTTCACTGTTAGTTTTCTGGTCTGAATTGTTTTGCACTTGTCATTTTGGCGCCTTTTAAACATTAGTATACTGTATGGGTTTTGCTCATTATTGAAGGCATATGGTGACCTATAGTTGCTTACTTCTACATTATTTGGTTTCTGGAGGAGAGTTATGTCTCATTATGCAATCATACCACATTTTCTTATTATGCCCCACCTACTATAGTAGAGGACATTATGTTTTTCGGTCTGTGCATCAGTTCGTTCCTCCGTTCATCCGTCTGTCCCACTTCAGGTTAAAGTTTTTGGTCAAGGTAGTTTTTGATGAAGTTGAATTCCAATCAACTTGAAACTTAGTACACATGTTCCCATGATATGATCTTTCAAATTTTAATGCCAAATTAGAGTTTTGACCTCAATTTCATGGTTCACTGGGAACATAGAAAATGATAGTGTGAGTGGGGCATCCATGTACTATGGACATTTTTGTCGAGCCTGCAACTTTTTTGTCGCAAAAGCGAGACATAGCGATCCTACATTCCGTTGTCGGCGGCGTCCACAAATATTTACTCTGTGGTTAAAGTTTTTGAAATTTTTATAACTTCCTTAAACTATCCTGGATTTCTTCCATACTTGGACAGGCGCTTGTTTATGATCATAAGATAGTATCCAGAAGTAAATTTTGTAAAAAAAAAATCCTGTTTATCCGTATTTTACTTATAAATGGACTTAGTTTTTCTGCCAGTTAACATTGCATTCACTCTGTGGTTAAAGTTTTTAAAATTTTAATAACTTTCTTAAACTATCCTGGATTTTTACCAAATTTGGACAGAAGCTTGTTTATGATCAAAAGCTAGTATCTAGAAGGAAATTTTGTAAAAATTTATTTCCTGTTTTTCTTTATATTACTTATAAATGGACATTTATTAGATTCATAAACCATCCTGGATTTTTACCAAACTTGGATAGAAGCTTCTTACAATCAAAAGATAGTATCTAGAGGAAATTTTTTTAAAAATTTTCCCCATTTTTGTTGAGCCTGCGACTAACAGCAAAAGTAGGCGAGACACTGGGTTCCGCGGAACCCTTACGAATTTTCTTATTTTTATATAGTTTCTGGAAAGTGCTGAATCTTGTATATAATAAAGAGGCCTCTCAAGGGGATGTCTAAGTAATCACATAATCACAAATTTTTTGCCAATATAATCACATAATCATTAATTATTTTTTTAAACAGATAATCAAATAATCAAAAATACAGTCCTGGATTATCAAATAATCATGACTTATTTGGTCTGGGATCAAATAATCACTATAAAAACAGCAAAGTAATCACATAATCAAAAACCCCATGAGGAGGCTCAATAAACATGTAACACAAATCAAAGTGAACAAAATATTTCCCAAATTGAAATGAAAGCGGCTTATAAGGTCCTGATCCCTTCTTTAATTAAAAATATTCATATATGATTTACTGGTACTTTGATGGCTAATAGTCAAGGCACTAACATTAGATTTTTTTTGTTGGGTTAAAGATTTCATTCAGATTCTTGACTAGGATTTAGGAATGTGACAATCAGGAATTCTTTACACCTGTAATTAAAAGACCTGCTTTTATTACACCTGGAAACAGACTTACGTAATCCATACGTAGGTGGGTTGGTTATCAAACTGTCTAGATTGCTTTCAATTGGCTCAATGTTTAAAAAATTTAATTACTGCACAAAACCATTTAAAATGCACTGTATATAATTTAGCTAGTTCAATACGTTTCTAAACGTTGCCAACTATTTTCAGTAGATTTCATCTCCACAATAAAAGTATTCAGAAGTGATTAAAGCTGATGCCTTTTTATATGGCGAATTATATTTATTTTATCTCTTTTCATTATAATACTGTCATGAATTCCTGTTTGACACATGCAATATACTTTTTTTATGAATCAAAAGTATAGTTATTTGGGCTGTATTGCATTTCCCTTGTCTGTCACACTTTTCTTAGGTACAAATAAACAGAATGGCTTCATATATGGTAAGCATTCAGACAGTGATGAGTTTTAAGGCAGACACCTACTTTTTGTTTTCCAGTACTTTGTACTAAGAGTTGGTGTATGCTAAGTATTATTGATTGATTGGTTGTTGGTTGCTTAATGTCCAGTGGCAAATATTTCATGCATATTCAGGATGAGCTTACCATGATAATGTGTGTTTTTTTGTTTTATTTCAAAACTCAATATTATGTATTACTAACATATACATCATTCAGTGTTGTTGTTAAGGTTACCTTTCATAATAATGTAGAAAAGTGCACGTGCAAAAAACATGAGAATACTGAAAATTTATCTTCAAAATATTAAAAAAAATATGGCTCAGTAATCTTGTTTTTGTGTTAAGTACGTAATTGAAATAAAAAGTAAAATTCTTGTCAATTTTAACAAAGGAAATTAATCCAGAACTAATGAATTTGTGTCGGAAAATCTGTTTTTGTCGCGACTCCTTAAGCTTGCCATTTATCTTAAATCATATCCTACAGGCTTTACATGGTATAAAACATATGACAAATTATATAAATACTATTACATTCACAAAATATAAAAGTCGGACCACAGTTTACTTGCTTAATACAGTTAGCCCATTGTCATACCTGGATTAGACCATGGTTAAATAGTCCAATATATCATAGGGTCTTTTGAAAGGGTAAAATATATCCAATACAAGAAACTTATTTACGGCAGCGATAAGTTAAAAGGATTGAGGAAATACATCAAATTTTTGAATTGTGCACCTTTTAAAAAAATTACACGGTGAATGAGAATTATCTTTTCAAGGCTTATGTAGCTTTGGTGATCAATCAGAATTTAATGCATCAAAATCTGATACAGTTCACAGGAAGGAAAAGAATTTGTTCGGGTTCGTTTTAGGTCAAATTTGTATAAGAGAACTTTGAACTACTGTTAGGGGTGTAATTTAACATCTCCCTATCAATCAAGGATAACAAAGATTAATGTTTTAAGACAAGATTTTTAAAATAAAATAAATTTTAAAAACTTTTTACTTTTGGAGAAAATTTTAGGTCAAATTTGTATAATAAAACTGTATGTAATATTACACCTCCTTTCAAATAAGTGTAATTAATATTAATAAGTTAGACCATATGATTAAAATGAAACCAATTTTCAAATGTTTTAAGACTTTGTGAAAACTACTAATAGATGAATGTAACAGTACTTGAAAACACTTCGTGCCTCAATCCCTTTTCCTAGAATCTTTTGATTTCTCTTATCAGCTGCCCAATTGCCCCTTAATATTATCCAGTTTTATAGTGTTTAATATATATTTACAGTTTTATGGTGCAAAACTTTAACCATCATTTAAATCTATAATAGATTTAAATGATGGTTAAAGTTTTGCACTTTTATATGAAATTACTACATGTATTGGAATGATATTTAAGATTTACATGGTGAAATGTAATGCTATAATTTGAGTAAAATAAGAAATGGGGCTAATATAGATGAGACAGCAACATAACTACACAGAAAAACAAAAGACATCTAGAGGTCCGTTTTCAACAATAGACAAGTTTTATGCTATATGTAAAGCTCCAAATGGCCTTGGTGTCTAGAAAAGTTGAAAAGAAGATTTTTTTTCAGTACAAAATTCCATAAATGACTAAAACCATTAAGATATAACAAAAGACAACACCTAACAAGGTTTCTCATTTGGGACAGGCCCACGAACTTATGGCAAGCTTACACAAGTTTATTTCAGAACTCGAACAAACCATTTTTAACCAAGCTCATTGACAAAAATGCACTTTCAGACTTACCAAATTTATATAGTGTTCTGTTATCGTTTACCTGCTTGTTGAGGGAAAAAGGTTGATTCAATAAACTTTATATATTAACTTATGCAAGTAATGCTTGAGCAATTGTGATTTAAACTGCCATCATTTTTCCAAAGTTCTAGTAATTACCTGCTTAAATTGAAAAACTTACCTGCTGAAAATGTACTTTTTAGAGGAAATTATGGATAACAGATAAATGCTGGCTGCCATAAATGATAACCAATCTATCATTGTGTTCTATATTGGTGTGCACTGCCTAAGCCTTAAGGCTTTACTTGGGTTTGACTGCACTATTTTGTATTTTATAACTTATAAATTGTAAAAAAAGGTCAATAAAATATAATATAAAAATGTTTTATCACGGTGATACTTCATTTTTTTCAGGGATGTAAGGAATTGACAACAGCCCATTGGTGACGCCCAGGAATATTGAATGGAACTTGTGTTATAACACAGCTGAAGGAAATATACAAGTTATAAATCATAATCTTTGCATTTAAATGTGATTACTCATATTTTAAAATCATTTGTTTTAAGTATGAAATAATAACCTGACATTGACACTGCAATGACAGGAGATGTATGGGTATTTAAGTATTGGACACATTCATAATGAGGCTGATGATGGAAGGGTCTGCTCAAGTATTAGTGTCAGATAGATACATGGTTAAATATGTAGATCTTGGATTCTTGGAGGGTGTGTTTAAACCTGCTTTCATTGAAACTCCCCCCATGCAACACTTTGTGGGAAACATAGAAATACCAAGTGTCCATCAATTATATCATAGGTTTATATCAGCAATGCCTTGATTGAGTTAAAAAAAATCAGCGCTTAACTATTTTACAGGATTGATGTCACTTTGAATTGTGCTTTATTTTGAACATTGCATTTTTAAGCACCCTTACACCTACATTACTTGACAATTTATTTTAATGAAGTTAATATCAAAGGCTGATATCAGCAAGATCTTGGAAGAGTTATGCCCCTTGGAAATAGAAATATACAGGAAGTAACATTGTTAAAGAAGTCATGCCTACATTTCTTGTAAGATATTTATAAGAAACTTTGAAACAGATTTTATTTTTAGTTTTTGCCCTTAGGCAGATAAAATATGTGCACTGCGGGGGGAATAGGAACTCCCTTCTTTATTTTTCTTTTTGGACAAAAATCAGGCTTGAACGTGGATCAGCACCAGTGAAGAAGATCTCAACATGTAAACCCACACTTAAGGTGGTACATAACGTTTTAATCACGTTCTATTGTTAAGGAAATATTAAGCTTCTCAATGATCAAAATTAGTGATTGTCAAACTGCTATATATCCAATGAATTTTTTCCAATAAAGTGTGTGGTTCAAGTTTTTTGAAATTTTAATATTTTTGTCAAAGGGTCAAAGTAAATATTTTGTCAAAATCTTATGAAAATTAAACGATACAAATTAATTTTAGTCAAGGTGTTTGGTACCAACTTAAACATTGATTTAAAAACAATCTTCAGTTTTGAAATCAGAGGATTATCCCATATATACAGGTATATTCCTAAAGTACAACGTAAATAATTGTAAATGTACACAACTTTTGCAATGTTGAACCGTGGAACTCCTCACGTCCTAATGATTCCATATTTTGACATACTAAAGTTTGACATGACAATAGATTGATGACAAACATGGTGGCAGGATAAATCTGTGTTTAATTTTTATAAAAGCCATCTATCTTATATAAATAAAAATGTCTCATGTACTTTTCGGCAGGAAATGCAATCTACTTTTGGAACAGAAATCATCTGATGACAAGGACTATTACATTGTAGGTTTGAGAATTTGAACCAAGATGTACTTGTGTGACTAATTCACTTTTTAAAACATTTATTTTATGATTGTCAGTGGCATAGTTTTTGCCAATTCAAATCTTGATGAATGACCTCATGTGTCTTAGAATGAAATACATTACATAAATACTATGATGAACAATGTTATTGATTAAATACATGTAGTAGCCATAATCAACTAAAAGCAACAGAACAGAAATGTAGAAGTTATCGTGTTGAATTCAGCATTGATTTTGCACCCAAACTTAAAATTAAGCCAAATTTTGACAGCTAAAGAATGTCTCTAATTTAACTGTGACAACCAAAGGCTTAAAAAACAAGATGATGTTCTGCAAATTTGCAATGAGAGACATCTACAAATATATGTATGGAGATGCAGATACATTGATAGCAATATACTGAAATGTCCATGACTTATCAGTATTTCTGCTCGATATATTTTTTGTGAAAATATTCAAAGATTCCTCACTTAGGACAGATAAATTCAATTTTTTTTTACTGTAAGTTATATTTAATCAACACTCCTCATTTTACCTTGGTCTATAGATGACAAAAAAAACATATAAAATAAAAATGCACATTTTTATATTTTGAAGTAAATAACAAAGTATTTTGACGACATTTGAAAGAATCAAGTTTTTGAGGCTAAGTTTGATATAAGTAAGTAAGTACTTTATTTATCATAGTAAACATGTCTCAATAAATATAACACAATTGCAAAGTTTGTATAGTCAATGTTGCACCTGGCCACTTGGACCTATAAGTCACCTATTTGACAAATTTAGTAAGTTTGTACAGTATCACCGAAATAGCAATAAGTGAAAATGTGCTGAGATTTTAATTATGACTTTGTTATGTATGCAAGGGGTAAAGGTGTATCTACTAATTTTGGTCACCCCTTTCCCTCTTTTTAATATTATATGATTACAATTTCAAATTTACAAAGGATGAAAATAAAAAAGTTCCTTTTTTCAATATAACATTAATTTGGTCCTAGAACCTTTTATTTGACCAATGTGCAAGCAACATTATTTTCAGCATTAATTGTACCAAATATTGATCTAATATTTTTTTTAAAGAATAGTAAAATGCGTCCTACCTTGAACAGAAGCATAGTATAAAGTTTAAGAATAAAAGCTAGCTCTTCATGGACTGTTCAACGGTCATTACAAATTGTCACATTTCATCAAAACCACTTGGCACACATTTATATTAAAGGCAAACATTTGAAGTAAAAGTATATATGTTTATATAACTAAGAATAACATGAAAAAACTTGACATGACTTTATTATTAACATAAGTAGTATATTGAGTAGGTAAAATTAATTGTTAAAACAACATGTTTGTAGTTGTGATTTATTTAAAGAAAGTGTACAGTGGGATTAATGAAATGTACTCTTGTGTACATGTATTGAGAGATGTTTGTGTCAATTAACTGATTAAAAACTGCATACAAAGTCACCGAAATCATAATCTTACACCTGATATTAGGAAAACATTTATTATCATATATTGTATAAGATTATCCTTATGGAAAACATATTTATATTTTTAGATGAAATATTTTTCCATTCTGAGGGTCTGGATGGGGTTACTGTACAGATTAGAGAATATTGGACCAAGATTTCAGAAAAAATAGCCAAAATAAAAAGAACAGAGAAATATAGTCCAAAATGATAAAAAATAAAGAAAAATTGGGAGCTAAAATATAAAGAATAGAGAAAAATGGTATGAAAAATGAAGAATACGGAAATGGGGGGACCCCCCATCCAGACCCTCAGCTATAATGTTCACACCTTTGACTTTTAGAAAAAATTATCAAATTAAAAAAGTATTACTTGATAAAAACTATACTTGTGTTGTATTTTAGGCAACAGATGTATCACAATATTGATGGTATTAAGATCCAAAGATCATGTGTAAAAGTTCTCTATCAATTTTATTAGACACAGGTGTCTTTTATTGGTGAAAAATGCATTTATGTAATCATTTTGTCTATATATAAATACTATTGTTTTAAATGATTGATCTTTTGTCTGATTTGAAATAAAATGCCTTGTTCGCTTAAATATACATGTACATATATGTTATATAGATAGATAGATAAATTTTATTTCCAATAGAGGACCCATTATTGGCATAATCAGTACAATGATTTTTATATTAAACAATTATATATAAAAGGGGCTCTGATTGCAATAAAGTATGCTGTTGAGCAATTATCAATCAATCATGGTAAAGAACAATAATATGAAAATAAGAAAATTTGGTATAAAATTGAGAATGGAAATTGGGAATATGTCAAAGAGACAACAACCCGACCAAAGAGCAGAAAACAGCTGAAGGCCACCAATGGGTCTTCAACACAGCGAGAAAATCCTGCACCCGGAGGCGGGCCTCAGCTGGCTCCTAAACAAAAATGTGTACTAGTTCAATGAAAATGCACGTCACACTAAACTCCAAAACATATAAATGAACTAAAATTAAAAAACATACAAGACAAATAAAGGCCAGAGGCTCCTGACTTGGGACAGGCGCAAACATGCGATGGGGTTAAACATGTTTTGTGATATCTCAATCCCTCCCCTATACCTCTAGCCAATGTAGAATAAACAAACACACAGCAATATGCAGTTTTTTTTATGCACAGTAAAACTCGGTTAAAAAGAAGTCTGAGTCTGATGTCAAAATAGGTAACAAAAAAAACTTAGCAAAATGACAAATGATACATAAATTAACAAAGGACTACTAGTACTAGCAGTTATTGACATGCTAGCTCCAGACCTCTTCAAGCACAATCCCTCCCATTAGGGGTTTAGTATCATACCATTATAAAATATATGAGAAGAACATAACCCTTATGCCAATAACTGGTTTTAAAATAAATGTGTTTATTTCCGATGCAAAGACCCTATGAGTGAATCAATATTAATACCAAAAGTGACCTGACAACAGTATCTTAACTATATCCCTTCTGAATAAGTCTGTTTAAAGGTTTGGTTAGCTTTTGAGGTGAATGGCAACATTTTTGTGCTTTGTATAGAATATTACCATAAAAGATTGGATGTGAAATACCTGATTGCCAATGAGACAACTCTCCACCAGAGACCAAATGATGTAGAAGTTAGCAACTCTAGGTCATATCGGCCTTCAACAATGAGAAAAACCCATTTGGCATAGCAAGATATAAAAGGTCCCAAAATGACAAGTTTGAAACAATTCAAACAGATAAAATCATTCCAGTTGCATAAAAAATACTGAACTATAATAAATAACTCCCTGTTGATTAAATACTTTTTTTTTTGCAATAACCTTAAAAATAAATAAAAAGGAAGATGAAAAACAAACCTTTATGATCCCATCTTTTGGTGGTTTATAAGTTCCAGTTTAGAGTTATCTCCCTCAATGCAATGTCAATAATTCTTGGAGAATGAAATATCTCAGTCTTGAACACAAATAATAGCTTTTTCACAAAATCCAATTAATATTCCTTGTTTTCACTTGGTCACACCTGTAATTAAAAGGAAACAAAAGGTAGATGATTGATTAGGAAAATACTGTCTACCTGGTGGCTTTTGATCTACATATTTGTCAATGTACCTGTTAATTAATTAAGTCTGTCAGACACTAAATTTTGAGTGATTAGTATATTTCAGTGTCTTGTATTATGAAAACACATGAAGAATATTTCAAAAGAAAGTTAAGTACAAAAAATTCAATATGCAAATATTTAAAAGTACTTTTTGCAAAGTTTAGAATTAATTTTTCAAAAAATTAATTTGCATTAATTTAATTTATTTTATTGTTACAATAAGCTTTTGTATTAATTGTTATCTGATAATTAATTATACATTTATTTATTTCTCTTTCTTTATATATAGCAGTTATCTATAAATAGATAAACAAGTTATGTAATTTTTTTTATGAAAATGAATTAATGAGGCGTGTTTGGACATAAATTTATTTTATAAAAGTGTTGTTTGTACCTTTGTTATCCTTTTAACTTATTTATAACTTGTATTGATAGAGAATCTCCCAAATTAAACTGTAATTTGTATTCAAGTACAAATATGTGAGGAGTCAACTTAAAAAAAGCATATCTGTCAATTTATGAAAACAAAATCATAAATAATATTTTTATGATTGATAAATATTAACATAAAAAAAACATCATCAGAAGGACTTGTATAATCTGGAAACACAACGAGAGATTAAAAAAGAAAACAAATTATGATTTTTTTTTCTTGAAATGTCAGTAAAATTATTTTGATGTCTTTCGGTTTTTTGTTTCGGGTTGCTGTCATATTGATGTATGCCCCACATCTTTAATGCATATACGGTCAATGTGCATTTCTTGGTTAACGTTCACCAAGAATTTCCAGAGAAAGAAGTTTGGAAAGCCAAGGTTTGAGAATGTTATAACCTAGGATGAACACCCAAACGTAATTAGGGTCAACATTACCAGATAGAAGTGCAATCTTAGAGCTTGTAATATTTATAGACAATAACATTTTCCGAATAGCCTTCCGTGTTACAATTTTTTTATTGAAGACTGCTACATAGAATAATTAACAAAGTTTATTTGAGATGAAAACCGGAAATACAGAGATACGTGAGAACGCATGCGAGGATTATAATGTTACTGAAATTAAACAATGAAGCAACCCAGTTCAACCGAGGACAAGGCGAGGAAGAAGGACATGATATTAAGATCACAACTAAAGAAAGAGATTTTCCGGTGATCAAATTTTCTATAACGCATTGACCCTTCGGGTAGTATCAGTAGAAAAAAAACCCACAGAAAATACAACAAAGAAGGTTAAGTTTGGTAACATTTATATACAAACCGTTAAATCAGATTAGGCTTAAGACACTTGAATTACACAAATTTGATGAATTTAATATGACATTAAAGAGTCAAGTTGCTAAAAATCTGGATTATCCTAAGTTGACTAATCCTTTGAAAGAGATTGAAAAATAACAAGTGTTGTATATCCTTTTAATATTAGTCAATAGGTTTCCTGTCAGAGAAGATTGAAATGGCCTAAACGTACCCTTGATGCTATATTTTTAATAGTACATCGTTTATGAACATGAATGAAATATTTGCCAATGGACGTTAAACAAACAGCAGTTAATCAATCCGTGACAGATAAACAATTTACGTATTAAACTAAAAAAGGGCGTATATAAGATGAAAAATCATGTCAATGAAATAATCAATTCTCTCAACTGTACTTTTTGCCGTATTTTACAATGATTCTGGTTTGCGATATTATCTCTGCATATCAGAATATGCATGTATGGTGAAATTATGCCGTTATATGATAAGATCATTCGAAATCTAAGTAAAAGATCTATGTCAAGTGATCAGCGTCATTTTTGCCTGTGACTACTATAACACATTATACTAGTCTAATTTTTTTGCAAATAGAAAAAAAAAAAGAATAAGACACAAATGTGAAGAAGAAAAAATTGTTCAAGAGCGATGTCTTATTTGTGTCAAATATCAAAGAATGCAAGAGGAGGCAGTGGTATATGCTAATCAGTGGCAACGATAACACCCATATTTGAGGGGAAGGACATCTTTTGAGGGAGGTGGGGGGGGGGGGGGAGAAGGGTACCCCCCTGTCCACCCCCTCATATTTCTTTTAGTTTCTTGTAATATTGGGTATGTACCGCGGACACGATACCCAAAACAGAGATGAACACGGTATCATATGACTATCATGGTGATTCTTTTGTAAAAGGAAATATTAACCTTTGAATTGAAGTGAAATTCGTCCAGTTTTAATATGTAAACTACGTTTGACAATAGTTTGTATAAAAAAAAAAAATGCGAACGAAATTTAATATAGAAAAGTTATGATGAAACTGTGAGATACAATGTACATTGTAAAAGAGAATAAACCAATACATTATTGCGCTTTTAACCAATCATATTCCTAGAAATGTATAGGAAGTAAGATAAATTATTGTATATGCTATAACATTACAAGCATGTGTGTGAACATTACCAAAACAATTCAGTCGTGCCGATACTCCGCTTATTCAGTTCAGTCCATTCACGCGATGGTATTGACAGAAAACATGCGCAGAATTGTAGAGGAACAACACCATTAAGTTGTCAGAATGACTTTTATCTTCGTTTTAATGAATTTAATACTTTATGTATATTTTTTTTCTGATTTGACAATATTTGCGTGAAAAGGGGATAAATCTCACTGTGTTAGCTTTGCGTGTCTCAGCAGTTTGTTAAATTAATTTTCTGACGAGGACATAAGCCTGTAGGCTGATAGTCTTTTCGAGTACACCCATTCTCCCTCGGAAACTCATTTAAAATTCATTCACCGACATAAGTTTCAAAATAAATACTTCTGAAAAAAAAGTTTGAATTAAAATTTGAATTATTTACTAAAGACTTCAAAGTACTTATTAGAACCGGCGGTATACTTCAGTTAATTACACAGCCGCCAAGATGAAATCCGAAGTTACATCATGTTCCACACAAGAGCCATTGAAGGGTTATATGACCCGAGTAAATATAATTTCTGGATTCGTGTTTCTTAAAAAGACAATTCAATTAAAATTTGATAAAAGCAATAGTTTTGTCCTGATTTGAAATTATTCTGTAAAGAATATACCTACTTGGAACGCCGCATTTCAAATGTAACCTCATTGTTAACATTGTTAAACAAATCCACTTTCATTACATCATATATACTTATAGGTAAATGCAATTTAAATTCCAGCTTTAATCATGTTAATTTAAATTTTTCTGAAGTTTCAAAAGTAGTAATTGTCCGACGGAATCTGACTCGATTACGTTCGTTTTTGTATAGGTATATTGTTCTTTTGAGGACTGTTGAGAGATTGAGCCTCTCCCCCTATCACAATTTAATCTCCAGGGGCTTTATAAGTAAACTCGATTGATATAATAGTATATAACATATCAATCCGATGAACAATTGCCAATTCATTTTTATTGAGACGTTATATATATTTATCAAATATATACTGC